AAGTGTACGGAGAGAACCAAACTTCTAACTAAAATTTAAACAAAGATGTGAGAGGATTATATAAAGTAATTCTTCACATGCTTTATTTAGTTTATGTTGCATATTCTTTATTCATTCTTTCTTTTAACAAATATTTAGTGAATATCTACTCTGTCCCCTACTTTTTTACTATTTCCCTAAAAACAGTCATTCTGTAAATTCCATGCACTTTCAACAATACTCTCTCTCTCTTAATGGCCATCAGTAGACATGGGAATTTGTAGTTATTCTTCCATTTGGACAGGCGGGAGCATAGTTCCTGTTGGATTCGGTTTTGATTAGAAGAAGAAAATTGTCACAATATTTCATAATAGCTTTCAGAGAGCACTGATCAAGCTTCAGAAATGGAGACACGTTTCAGCCAATGTTGTCCTGCTGTACTTTATTTTTCCTGAGTTGTTGGTTGGACTTGATGTTAAGATGAGGCCCCTCCTCATAAAGTCAGAGTTGCCAGGGCCCGCTTGGGAGTCACCTAGCATTGCAGAGCCAAGGCTTTATCTCAAAGGATAAGGTGGAGTTTGCTCTTTTCCCCTATTGTGAAACATGAGAATATTAAGTAATCTGTTTATATCATACAGATCCAAAATACTGGCTGACTTTTTTAAGAATAAAACATCCATAGGATTTACTTCTCTTTGGAAAAAGCTATCTGGAACTCTTTCTTTCTATCTCAACTTTGTTTCACCCCCCAAAATTTGGCAATTTCCCCATCTATGTTTGAAATGAAAATGCAGTGGTGGTTCCTCTTGGTCAACATTTCTGGGTCATTCTGGTAACATAAATTTGTCATTCTTTGGAAGTGCCTGGGCGGGAGCTGGAGCCTTTTGGTACAGAAACAAATATGAATTTCTGAAATGTTGAAATTTTTAAATAAGTATATCCATAGTAACCACTCCCTGCCAAAAAGAAAAAAATTGTATAAGGTAACCAATGAGAGAATAGATACAAAAGCTTCTGTTTATTTTAAGGATTAAAATTGGCACATGGTTTCCTTTTGAAAGAGTCTTTCTCTCTCTCTCTCTCTCTCTCTCTCTCTCTCTCTATCTGCCCATCCTCTGCTTTCAGAACTCATGACATTCTGTCACCTGTGACAAATAAAGGCTCAGGAAACATTTTTTTTTTTCAGTTGAACACAGTGCCCTGAAAACTATTCTTATTAATCTGGTAAACAAGACCATGCAACCCAGGCTCTCTCTCTCTCTCTCTCTCTCTCTCTCTCTCTCTCTCTCTCTCCTCTCTCTCTCTCTCCCCCCCCCTCATATTTTGGTGGCTGGCCAGTACAGGGATCCAAATCCTTAACGTTGGTGTTATCAGCACCATGGTCTAATCAACTGCTAAGCAATTAACAAATGAGGGGGCCAAGCCCGTGGCTCCCGCCACAAAAAAAAAAAAAAAAAAAAAAAAAAAAAAAAAATGAGGAAAATTGTATGAAAACTAGGTTTAGTCTTTAAATATATATATTACAGTTAAATTCATTATTTAAACAGAAGATGACTCCTCTTCTGACTCACTCTACTCTTAGCGAGTTTTGCAGCTGACAGCTTTCTATTGAGTTTTTAGAACATGGATTAAGTGTTATACCACCCACTGAAAGTAAAGTTGAATGAGGTGAACTGAGGGCGTGGCCTGCATCTCGGTCTCCCTCCTCTTCTCAGAACTGCAGCGTTAAAAAGAAACTATGAGAGAGCATCTGGCTCTTCTTGCCTTCGGGCTGAGCTGAACCCAACTCCCTCATATTAGGGGACTCTAAGAAGAACTTTATTTTTTTTATTTTTTATTTTATTTTATTTTTTTGTTCTTTTTGAGACCGGCTGCACCGTGCTCAGCCAGTGAGCGCTGTGAGCGCACCGGTCATCCCTGTATAGGATCCGAACCCACGGCGGGAGCGCTGCTGCACTCTCAGCGCCGCACTCTCCCGAGTGCGGCACGGGCTCAGCCCTAAGAAGAACTTTAAAAGCATGAAAATTTCAAAGTAACTACAGCTACTGAACGTTAGTCACCTTAATAATTGCATATTGGAAGCACATCTTACTTGTGCAAATTACTGTAAAAAAGTTTTATTTTAAGTTTACTTTTGTCAAGTGTGCTATAATATTCTTCAATCATGTTTATCCTAAAAGCAAGAGAAATAACTGGGACAAAAGGTAAAATAATCGATAATACAAATGTAAGGTGTTCCAGCTCCCTGCCCTTTGAATTCTTGATCCTTAAAACTGGAGCATTTACTTCTGCCATAAATGCACAAGAAACTCAGCTACATTGGAATACAGATAACAGTGTGCTTTCTTTCAAACACACCCTTCTCTATGCAATTAAAAATATGAGATGGACTCATGTCCTTGAAAAATACATTCCCACTTGACATGTGAATCCTTATGAGAAGTCTTGACAAGTCATCTGTTTCTTCATCCTCAACTACTGGAACCATCAAACCCATGTCCATTTAAACTTTTTTACACTATCACCTCTCACTCCCATGGGATAAAACCAGGTGAGAAGAGGGAAGGGTCAATTGGGAGAGGACTGAATTAGAAATGAATAGATCCTAACTGTAGTTTCAAAGCTTCTACTGTAGGAGAGCCTACACTGTTGCAAGTTTCCCACCAAATAATGACACTATTAGCAATTATCCTGAAGGGACTCAGGATTCAACAATAGGCAACTAACTAAGCATACCTTGAAAGAAATGTAATCAACTCAGGTAGTAATCAACATGAAAGACAGTCATTAAAACAGAGGTCTTATAAGAATTGGAAAATACACAAAATCTAAGTGGCAAGTTTAATTATCACAAAGACAACACATTTCTTGAACTTTACAGACATTTCTACCACCTTTAGATGTCTTTCTGTTTCTCCTTAAAGAAATCTGTCTACCAATTTGTGTTATTCACTTATGCTTGAAAATGAAGGGAAATACTATAGCAAATACACTTCTTAGTCAAAGCCTTAAAAACTCTGTACAATATCCTATTGCAGTAGATTGCTGTCAGTCCTACAGACAGACAGTACAAACTTCAAGAAGTGGTTTACATCTCCTGTGAACTTAGCTAGAACATTATTCTCAAAGGAAAATACACACACACACACACACACACACACACAGAGTACATCTCGTTCCCAGGCATTTTTCTACTTTAATTGTCCTAAAACTATAGGATATTTGTTCAAACCTACATTATTTCTTTGACACTGGAACTGTGACAGAGTCACTAAAATGAAAATTTAACATCATGGGTTACAAGAAGCTTAAAACAAAAGTTTTACTATTTTGCTTTCACCAACTTGACATTTTCCCACAGTCAAGTTGTAAAAATGCAAGGAACCCATAAAACAATATGAAAGAAAATACTGTAGTTTCCGTTTTCCTAAGAAACTTAGGTATCAAATTCTTATTAGTCAGTCTCAGGAGCATAAATTCAGGAAGTGGGGGGTGGGGGCACCAATCCTGTAACAGTACATGGGCAGAAGAAACTTACTAAAGAAACATGAGAAACAGCATAACAGCCACACTATTTAAACTTTCCCAAGGGGCTGGCCCATGGCTCACTTGGAAGAGTGTGGTGCTGATAACACCAAGGCCATGGGTTCGGATCCCTATATAGGGATGGCCAGTTAGCTCACTTGGGAGAGCGTGGTGCTGACAACATCAAGTCGAGGGTTAAGATCTCCTTACCGATCATCTTTTAAATAAATAAATAAATAAAATAAAAAATAAACTGTCCCAGATGGCAGAGAAGCATCACTTGCCTCGTACCTGGTGTTTGGTCAGCTTGAAGAACCACTCCAGAACACAATACCCACCCTCTTTTTCCCAACCCCACCACCCTCCGGTCCAAGTTTCTGGTAGGTACTAAATGCTTACAAATGGCACCAATCTGACTAAAGTCTCCGAAACACATATGAATTGTCTCTTAGGTGACTTTAAAGGGTAGAATTGATCACATGGTTCACCTGCAAGTTTCATTTAACTTTGAGTACTGCCTATAATGCTGATTATTATTTTAAATCTCATTATAAACATCAATAAGAGGGCCGGCCCCGTGGCTCACTCGGGGGAGTGCGGCGCTGGTAGTGCTGAGGCCGCAGGTTCAGATCCTATATAGGGTTGGCCAGTGCGCTCACTGGCTGAGCATGGTGCGGACCACACCATGCCGAGGGTTGCAATCCCCTTACCAGTCAAAATAAATAAATAAATAAATAAATATCAATAATAGCTTATAGGGCTGTGGTGCCTTCACACAATGATTTTAATAAATATTAATTAAACTGTGACTTCTCACTATCAAATAAATATTATTATTCTCACATTATCGATATATCAACAGACAAGAAAAGAGAATGCACACTGAAAGCATAGCCCCAAGTAAAATATAACTCTTCTTTGGTTTTTAACAGGTACTAGGAAACACCAGCAAAAGAGATCCTAGAGGTTTCTTAAGTAAAAAATGTTTGTACATCTTTTCCTAACTGAGACTCATCCATGATTACCATTATTAATATCCTCAGCTTAGACCCATTTTTCCTGCAACAATGGTATCATTCTCCTTCTGTAACATCTGTTTCTCTACCCTGCAAGCTGCAAGAAAGAGTATTATAAGGTGCTGCCAAACAGATTTACATAAATCTAGAAGCCTCCTTGAATTAATCATTGGAAATTGGTTAATGTTATCTGGTAAAATACTATTTTTGATGAAGAGGCACAGCTAACATAGGCACATGCTTTAAAATAAGGCTGTTTTTTTCAACCAGGCAAGACCACACTGATTTAGATTCTGGTGGTCCAATGAAGTTCTTAAAATCACTTTCTGTGTTGAAGCAAAATATGAAGATTAATGAAACTCCATAGAAAAGCTTCAGTTTCTAACTTCAAAAATGTAAGACATATGAAAAGTATGAATGCCATTATCTACAGAGACATATGTATATGCATATACACCTTCCCAGGCCCATAAAGCTCACCTTCTACTTCTTCTTCATCACACACATGCTTAAGGAAGGAAGCCCCTCTGTCCAGGACAGCTTCATCCTCCATCCTATAGTAATAAAAAAGAAAAAAAGAATGCTCAGACTTCTCCTGGAGGGAGCCACTTGAAGCAGCCCAGCTTCTGGGCAGGTTAACCTGCAAGCTGTTGTTCATGTTAACAGGGCAGAGTCACTCTTCCTTTGGTGTCTGCTACTCCCTCACGCAGCTCCTCTCATCTGGTGCTTCAGAATATGCCGGTCCCGCATAGCTTCAGTTCTAACCTTGAAAGGACAGGTAAAAGAAAATAATACCAGTTCTGTAGGCTGAATGTTGGGAGCTCTCCCTTTTGGGGGTTGAAAAAAAAAAAAGATAAAAGAAAAAAAAATACCAAGAGAGGAAGTTTGGTATGTCTGGAGTGCTCGTGATGATCGTCTGTGGAAATCCAGCTTCAGTGCTTAGCTCTTTAAACACCCACTGCATAAAATGTATACCCTCACACTCACACACACACACACACACACACACACACACACACACACACGTAGAGAGCGACAGGGAGTTAGGCTAGTGCACAGTGGGAGCCTAGCTTCCAGCCAGCCTCTTAATACCAGCACAGCCCAGTATTCTCTGTTGAGTGGCAAGCTTTGAGTCACATGTTGGCCTTACGGAAATCTGACATCTGAGGATTATCCAGCAATCCAGCTTCAGCAATAGGCACATATACATGCCATCCATTCATTCATTGTCCATATTCTTATCACACACCTTTCTCTGTGTATATCTGCCCTGTTAACTCTTCACTGAAGGGCACAAAGTTCTTCATTTTGTAACCACATTATGCTGTCCTCCCTCCTGTCTTCTTACATAATAGGATCTACTCTGCAATTTCATATGCTAAATAAGACCTCAGAATCCATCCAAGGAATGAGAGTGTTTTTATGGCCTCCCGATGCCAAATATGTTTCTAGTTTATAGAGTGAGTTAAGGCTTATTTCCATACTCTGTGCCTCCTTTTCATTGTATTAACTTTGATATACAGAATTCCATGAACTCTATTTATAGTGAAAGCAGAAAGAAATCCTGAATTGCTCAAATGCTGCTTGTGTAGTACGAGTCTAGAAACAAAGAACTTTCTCTGGGGACAGCTGCTCTATGTCATACGGTACATGAGCACTGCCAGAGAACCAAGTGTTCACTCTGTATTGTATTCATCCAATTATATGCTCAGGCACTGAATACTGTAGGTCTGTTTTCCATATTATCTGTATAACTTATTCTTGTGCTGCAGATACTTGTTATAATGTATGTGGATGAGCACTGAATTCATATTTTTCTCCTTACTATTTTGGGAGCATATCCCTCTCACAAAGCAACCATCTGAGCATAAAAAGTCAGAAATTTGGCATCAGGTAGCCCTGGGTTTAAAAAATCTAGTTGTGCCACTTAGCAGTTGTGCTACCTGGATCAAAGTATTTAACTTTTTTGAGACCCAGATTTTCCATCTATAAAATTGAGGTAATAATATCAACTTTGCATTGATTGCTTGAGATTCAAATTAGGTAACATATCTAAAAGCACTCGGCACAGGACCTAGCTCATACTACATGTTTAATAAATGTTTCCTTCCTTTTTCTTTCCTTCTTTCTTTTCTACCCTGACCAACCACTGATGGACAATGCTATTAAGATATTCATTATCTTTGGACACTTGACAGGACTTCTTCTTTCAGGAACATGGGCCTTGTATGTAAAAGCTCATCCTGATATATCCCTTTTTCCTTCTCTATACTCTAAAATGGGTCAGCCACCAGGATTATGGTGAAAAATAAAATGCTTTGAAAGTTTAAGGAGTCAAGTCATTTACCAACCTCTCTGAGCCTCAGGTTCCCATGAAGATTAAATGATATAGTATATTCACTGATTCAGCAAATATTCATTAGTGCCCGATATGTTCCTGAGCACTCTTCAGAGGGAGGGGAATACATCTGTGAATAAGACAACATTCCTAAGAAACTAATAATGAACAGACAGATGAACGAGGTAGCCTCAGATAGCATCCAGTGGTTATCAGAAAATAAAATGAGGAAAGGGGTTACTTGGCATAAGGTGGATCAAATGGGGCTTCTAGGGAAGCAACATTTGAACAGATACAAGGATGACAGGATGGAACCAGCCATGTGAGGATCTGGGGGCGGAGTATTCCAAGCAAAGGGAACAGCAAGTGCAAAGACCCTAAGGTGGAAGAAGTTTAGCATGTTCCAGGAGCAGAAATGAGATCGTGTGACTGGAAAGAGAGACAGAAGGTCAACTGCACAAGATGATAATAGAGGGAATTAGGGCCATGCTGGCCATGGTAAGGAGGCAGAATTTTAGGTGTTATGGGAGCCACTCTTAACATTAAGAATGACTTGAGCTGTTTTATCTCTCTAAAGGATCACTCCGGCTGCTATGTGAAAAATGGACAGTCAGGGAACAAGAAAAACCAGGAAACTATCACAGGAGCCCAGGGAAGGCTATGGGAGAAACAGTTGTTGGGAAGGACTCAAGAGTTCTGTTTGGCCTCTCTAAGGTTGAGATGGATGAACATGCTAATAATACTGATTGATCATCACATATTGTACACAAATACTGATAGTCAACTCTGTACCCCATAAGTACATATAATCAATTATGTTTCAACTAAAATATAAATAATTTTTAAAAGGTTGAGATGCCTATTACATGTGAAAAAGGAGCTATCAGGCACACAACTAGATGTCTGAGTCTGGAACTCAGGAGCTCTGGGCTGGAGATAAAAACTGGGAAATCAGTGGATAAAGCTGGTACCTGGACCTACTACTAGATGGAATCATCCGGGAAGAAAATGTAGACATAGAAGAGCAGACCCAAGACCAAGTGCTAAGGCATGCCAACATTTACAAGTAGAGCAGAGGAACAAAAGCAGTCACCAAGGTAAGAGACAAACCAGGCAAGAGCGATGTCAAGGAAGTCATAAAAAGGGGAGAGTACTGCTACTGAGAAGCTGAGAAAGATGGAGACAGAGAAGAAAAAATCAGATTTGGCAATATGGAGGACATTGGTGACCATGACCAAAGCACTTGAAACATACGATACACAGTGGTGGACACAGAGAGAGCTGAATGCGGTTCCCTTTTCTCTTTCCTGCCCTCCTCCATTCATTCAGTAAATATTTACTGAGTACTTATTATGTGCCAGGCACACTTCATGGCACTGGAGAAACAGTGATGAGAGAACAGGAAAGAGCTCTAGTGCAATGACACCTGCCTTTTCAAAAACATCTCCTAGCAATCAAAGAGAGTTGGTGCAAAGGACAAGAACCCATCAGTTTATACAGTGTCTGTAGACACAGATAAAGATGACAGTTTAATGGGGAAATTTTCTTAAAAGACCTCAGAAGTACAACAAAATCCAGGAGCCCTGTACTAGTGCTCATACATTAACAGTATTGTCTCCCCTTTGGAAAACAAAGAGTAGTTAGGTCACATTTCTTGTTAGAACTAACTTTTTCCAGTCCTATCAGCCTGCAGAATCCAACACAATTTCATACAGAACATCATTTCTGCACCCCACCATTAATCAAGCTAGTTCCAAAGTCTTTTGTTGTCCTTTTATACATTTCCTAAACAAAATGTTTAGCATTAATGCCTGAGCCCTTCTCAAAACTGCATGCAATAACCAAAGGGGAAGTAAAAGAAGAAAGCCACTTAACAACTGGAGGGAACAGTAAAAAGTTAATGCCCCAGAGCTCTGGTTGAGAAAACCATTCAGCCTAACTGAAGCACTGTCACCATGTTCCATCTGAGTTACAGAGTGAGAATAATGATTGGTGCATTCCTTGGCTCTTTGATGCATATTTCGCATTCCCTCTAAGACTATACATAGCAAGTAATTAGAAACTTAGTTCTTTCTGAGAGACAGTGAAGAGCATCTGAAAGCAGTCTCTCCCCTGCAGGAAGCGAAAAGGGATGAGGAACAAAATGGACATATATAACCTGCACACTCACAGCAGCCTTTCCCCAGAACAAGTCCAGCCTGGCGCACCTGAGCTTCTTCACAAACTACAGAAATTTTACAGCTCTTTTCCATCTTTACACCACAAATGTCAATTATTTGGGTTTGTGCCCCCCCCCAAATCCTCTCAGCAGTTGCTTGCTATTATTAGTAAGACAGAAATATCTTTAAAATGACTGCCTGACCCAACCAGTTTCCCCTCTATCAGAAGGAAGAAATTAACTCATCCAGTTCCTTACCAGGCCCCCAAACCCATTCCCAAAATGTTCCTTTCACACGCCCTGCATTTGCTGAAAACAAAGAAGGAAAGGAGCATGCTTCTAAACAGCACCCTTGGTTGCTCACAGCACCAGCGTGAGGCAAAGTTCAGAATAGATTTGGAAGCTTCTCACCAGCATCACGGGGATAAGGGTCACACCAGTCAGTATAAAATCCACTCGGGGCCAGTACTGCCTTCCTTCAACAGGGCATCTGAAAGTAGAAGTTGTACCCCTTCTACAGAAGTCCACACCCAAATCAGGGTTTTTCTGATTCTCCATTATTCGGGGACACGAAAATGATTTAACTGTAACACATGTCAAATCTGCTGCCAAATGGACCAGCTTTCACCAGCCAGTCCTAATCACTGAGCAGGCTTGCAAGGGTGACTTAAGCCCGGCATGAGAAACATTTGCACAAAACTGTCAGCCATTGGGCCTTGAGCACCCATCTACATTCCACCCATCTGAGTTCCCACCCCCCAGAGCCCGTGCCAACTGCCAACGTGCTCACCAGCTAGTCCCCACAGCGTGAGCAGCTGCCACTCAGCCAGTCAGCAAGTGGCAAGCCGCCAGCACACAAGTTTCAGAATGCAAGCCTGCCTGTCACGGTGCTGCTAAAGGTTGAAGGTCTTCGGGTGTGCTCGCCTTTAGATTCGCCTCACTTGCCCTCCCATCTCCCTTGTCCCAGCCCTCCCCTGGTACGCCTCCCATGGTAGCATTTCACTCGTCTCTATAGTAACAGCATCTGGTTTCAGGGTTAGCACTTTATACAGTGCAAT